GCCGGCCCCAGGGCCGGGAGCGGGCCTGGCGGGCCATGGTGGGCCGCAGGGGTGACATGGGCGTCGGTAGGGCGCTCGTTCCCTTGTGCCCTCCCCCACCCCCACCGCAACAACTTCTTCCCAGAGGGGCTTTTCTCTTCAAAACGGTATTCCCCCGTTTTCTGAGGTGTCTGTTCCCATGTTTGTTAGAGGTACTGGTTCTTCTGAATGTATTTTTACCTGATGACATGACTTGGACTCTTCGGCTGCCCTCCTGTAAACGTTTTTGGTCTCTCTGAAACTCCTGCTCAGCAAAAAGAGGCTTTGCTGACATTATTTTGAGCTGTAATAATCAAGCTGCTGCAGAGGAGAGTAGGGTCTCTCTCAGAAGTGTACCGGGCTGGTCGTGGCTGGCAAAGCATGCTCTCCCAGCTTTTGCTAGCTAGTGGGTGTTGTTTTGGTGGCGAAAAGCTGATCTTCTCTTAATAACTCTTGGGGCTCTCACATAGGGCGTCGTTGGCTTTTGCTGCAGGGAGGAGGCTGATGATGTGTTGCATCTGTGGGCAGGGCACTGGTGTTGTGGAAGGGGGTCTGACAACTACCACTAGTTTTCTTTTCCATGGGGAAAGCTGAGATTAAGTAGAACAGCCGGTGCTGGTTGCCCAGTCCTGCTGCTCATCAGAGTTGTGCACTGGGAGTAATGATGCAAAAGGTGTACCGTGGATACTGCTTAAAAGAGCCGAGGTTTTGTGCTTTTTTTTTTCTTTCTTAGAATTTCTTACTAGGTAAGAGAACCGTGAAACTGATGATAAATTATTTATTTTTGGGGACTACCTGAAAAACTTGTTTGCCTGGGTATGAATGCCCTTCTTCTACATATTGCAAAGCTAGTAGTTGATAGGGTGAAAGCCAGGGTATTTTAGAAACAGAAAGCAGTGGGTTCTCTCAAGTCCAGAAGACTTTTGTGTATAAATACATAAATCAGGTAGATCAAAGTCTCCTGGTGTTCTCAAAAATACTGTCTTTCATTACATGGTGGAAGTTCATCTGTAGAATTTATTTGGCGTAATTTAATAGTATTCCTGGAGACAAAGCAGTCTTGCTGCCTCTAGATGATTCTTCTTCTCTCAGAGTTATGTGAGACCACGGGCAAGAAGCTGCTGGTGCTTCTGACATCTGGGTGGGGAAGCAGCAGCAGACTCAGCCTAAGAGTAGATACTTGCAAAAGCAAGGAAGAGTTTTTAATTCCCCCATAGCCTCTTTCAAGGAAAACTTGTAAGGAAAAAAATGGGAAAAGCCTAATAAAAAGTTGAGCTGGCAAAAAGAAAAAAAAAAGTGAGATGATGGAAATGCACCCTGGCACATGTTCATGAGAACCTGGAGAGAAAATTCCCTTCCCCTTTCCCACCCTTGTTTTTTGGAACGCTTACCGTCTCCAACTTTGGATCTTCTCAAAGGGAACAACAAATCATTGGTGCATAAATGTTAGCTTACGAGCATGGTCCTGTTGCTGAGAAGAGGGTTCACTTTGTCTTATAAAGTAGCTATGGCATGACATGGAGAACACTGTGCTGCTGTCCCTGTTGAAGTTGTGTGGGACAGTATATAGAAGGACAATCTCTGAAATGTGTAGATATGTTATGATAAAGTAAGTTACAGAAAAATGTCTTGATATGAGCTTCCTTAATTTCGAGAGCTTGTTTGTGGGTATGCTTCTTGAACAACGTTAACTTGTAAATGTTTTCTTTCAGGAATTCATGCTTTTTCTATATAGTAATTAAACATAATAAAATTGAAATTTAAGACAGTGCTAATAAGTGAAATAGACCCCTTTTACATGCCCTGTTCATAAACAGCACTCTGTTAATTCGCTTCGACTCTTAACATGTTATTTACTTTAAGTACATCACCTTCTTTATATCGCACTTGATCACAGGGTTAATTCTTTGTGTAGATGTTGCCTAGCAGTAACTGCACATTTAAATATGATTCTGTGGTTTTGCTGCTATCTTGCCTGATAGGTTTTGTAGACTTACTGGTATGTTAGCCATTCCTGTTTGTCTGCCATTATATGAATTGATATCAACTATTAATTTTTTATTTTATTTTTTTTTTCTCCGCAGGAGGTAACGGCTAGTAGCCGCCACTATGTTGATAGATTATTTGACCTCGATCCTCAGAAAGTCCTGCAAGGTGTCATGTAAGTCATCTGAAACACACTTGGGCTGTTGGTTGTGCGTAGACTAGGTTTACTTGGGTTCCACTAGAGTTGTATATCAAGGGCAAGAAGCTCTTCCTGTCTTTTTTTTTGAGAAACCTTGTTGGAAAACTTTAATGCAAACACGATAGTATTGTTTTACCAGACTATCACTCTGTAGTGCATATGGTTCATAACGCAGCCTCCCAGTTGCCCGAAATGAGGTTAAACGTTCTGTGAGCATTCAGAATTTTTTTTTGATACATTTCTTCCTTTTGGCCACCTTTTGCTCCTCTTCCAGGTCTGTTGAGACTCTTTTCTCTTATTCCACTGCCAAGTCAGTGTACCTGCCTCTTCCTCTTTCCCCTACTGCCGTGTCTGAGTGTTGGCTTTTTTTTTTATGCATGGCTTCTATCTCACCGATGGGAACTGCAAGCTGAAAGAAAATGCTTCCATAGAAGTTAATTTGGATGCAAATTTTATTTCAGTACTTCTGTTACATGCCAATGATGAGGGGTAGTGACTGAAAGAGCGAGTAGAAGACTTGCCCTGCTGAACAGGTAGTAAAACTGGTGCAAAGATCTGGTTGCTTTCTTGCTGTCCTTGGGCTATAAGCTTTCTATTATAACCACACAGCAACGTGGCAAACAAGTCCTTGCCCAGGACTGACTTTTGGTGGTGAAACCAGACCTTTTCAGGCTTACCAGTAACTTGCTGGCTATGGCTGTCTAGCAAAACACTGGAAGACATCGAAGGACCAAGTGGATCAAAAAGCCAAGAATGTTGGTTTTGTTGCTTAGGACAGTCTGAGGTGTTTTCCAGTCACAGATGAAAAAAATTATTCCTGAAGGTGTCCCAAGGGCAACATATCAGAATTAGTGTCCCTTTGAAATACATGAAAAACACAACATACGTAAAACTCTCCTGGAAACTTTATTGGTTGAAATTCCCCCTTACCTGTATAAAAACTTCTGGTATACCACCGTAACTATATAGAGGTTCTTAACCCTTCCCTGTAGGAGAGTCTGGTTCTGCTTCCATCCCTTGGCTGTCTTAGTCCCCTACTTAGAAGGACTGCTGTGATGGTCCCAGGGGCAAGGATGTGTCTCATCCTATGTCCAAGTGGGTTGTCTGAGCCCCTCTTTTCTCCTTGGCAGATGCTCTGAGCCCTGGGTGGTGTTCCCTCCCTGCTCTCCTTTCTTTTCAAAGGACTGCAACCCAGAACCCTTGGTAATCTCGTCCCTATCTTTTGAGGTGTTATTCATATCTTTTGAAGTATAACTGATTTCCCAGAAACAAACGTTTTAGGCAGTATCTTTGTCTCAGCTAACATCTGAAGTTCTTCATCTTGTTAATTTATATCAGTGGATTCTATGCTGAGATGCTTTTCTTGCATTTAAAGACAAGGAGATACCAATTTATTTCACAACAGCTTTCAAAGGGCATATTTGGATGGTAAACCATATTTGTGATCCTCTCGTTAAAATCCTAATTCTGAAAGTATATCTTTCCTGACATTGAGCAAATCCTATGTGGTAGATTTGTTATTTTCCAAATATTGGTGGATGGGTGTGAAACAGTCCAATTTAGAAAAGTGTATATATAAAAATAGAATTTAGAATAGTGTACATCTAAAAAAATTCTGTCAGTCCAAGATTCTCTTTGGGCAGAAAAATACTGCTTTGCCCTTCTTCCTTTGACTTCAGGGTATCTGAAGAGGTATTGAAGTTGGAATGAACTGATATTTGGGGTGGAGTAGAAGAAGATGATTAAAGTTCTACCAGAAGTGTCTGTCAGAAGCTTTACCAGATAGTCTCCTACTTTGCTGAAAATCTTTGGTTCCTGATATGTGCTGGTTGTTTTTCCTGCATCCTGGCTGAAAATACTGGTGACCTAGATTTTTATTTTGATTGATGGAACTGTATGAATATCTGATCAAGAATCAGAAAATAGGCTGTCTTAAGAGGCTTTGTTTCTGCAGATTGTCTTCAGTTACAATAGTCCTGTTCTTCATATGCTATTAAAGGTGCTTGAATGAATAACCTGGGTTTGGGGCTTTTTTTAATTGCATCCTTGTAATTTTAATGAAAACCAACTTCTGAATGAGGTTTGATAAAGGTAAAATATAGCTAATGCTTCTTGAACTTGAAAATTATGCCAATCCAGTTGTCATCTTGTAACTTGAGAAAGCTTTTAATTACACATTCTGAAAGTATTTAAATGATCAAATCTCTTGTTTTTCTTTCTTTGCCATGAATTGTCAGAGAGGTGGTGTTCAGAACCTTCTTTTGTCCAGACAGTGAAGTCTTACCTGGCTAGGAGCTTTCTCCTTTTCCTCCTCATGGGAAAACTGAGAAACCATTTCCCTTTCGTCTGATATTGCTGTATGTGGTTCTGTTATCTTATTTCAAAATGTCAAGTTTCCTGCAGAACTTTTGTTCACGTAATTTCTGTCATGTTCATCTGGGTGTTGATAGTACGTAGGAAGGGGAAGATTGTGTGTACCTGCCAGTAAATAATGAATTTCAGTTCAGCATTTGAAATGTTGAGATTCTTGCAAGGATGACTACTACCTTTTACTGTGCCTGATAGTGAACTATTTAAAGTTTGCAAGGCCCACATCTTCATACCCACATCTGTATAGCAGTGTATGTATTTACCTTTCTATTTACTGTCTTTATAAATGAGCAAGCTTAATACAGTAGTTTCCTTCTGTAAACATAATCTCTACATTGTGGCCATGCTTATGCTTGGGAGGTCTTAAAGGTTTGCTTTGTGTTTACGTAAGTGCTTTTTCTAAACCATTCATCTACATACTGTTCTACAGTTCAAATTGTCTCAAATATGCTTTGCATTCTGCAAGGTCAGCATTAATGTCAGGTATGCAGCTATTGAATACATTTAGTGTTGACAGTGCATGGACTACCTCAAACATATTGTAAGGGATTAAATATCGTGTTCTCTCAGAAATTCTCTTAAATGTTTTGCCGTTATTGGCAGAGGAGAACAACACAGATAGCTCTGTAAATTTCTGCATTGTTATAAGAGCTTCATTTGTCCCAAGATGGTTGCTGCAACATCATCCTGTGCTTTGCAGTGTGGTAGTGTTTATTTCTTTTTAAAAACAACTCTGGGTGGTGATCCTTAGACTATCATTTGCTTTTCACACGCTCTTAAGCTCAGGACCACATTATTCAGATGCAAGACTGATACCTATTTTTGTCCTTTATTTGCTGGTCAGGGTCGTCTTTGAGATACGTTTTGTCATGCTTACATTTAGCCTGATGTCTTCAAACGGGCAATCTGTCATTTTATGGAGAGCTATGTAATTCCATCTCAAGGGCTGGTTTTGAAAGAGCATTCTTTCTGACAAATCTGGCTTAAGGTCCCAACTGTTTCTCATCAGGCTGTTCTTCAGCAGAGGGTGTCGTCTTTTAAGGCTTGTAAATAATCGTCTTTCTGGTGCACTGAGAATTCCTAGGCTACTGCTGTTTCTGTCCTTTATGGATGAGCTTATCCAGCCAGTTGGAGTTACTACACAAGCATTTTCCAAACTGGTGTGAGCATTGTATATCTCAGGAAAATGAAAGAAACATCCTATAGAAATGGCACGTGGTACTGAAGAACTAATTTCAAAGTGTGTATCTACAGTATCTTCCTTTTTCCCAGGGAGCATGTCTAGTGCTATGGTGGCAATACTGGTACAGATCTATGCAGTATATATAATTTGAGTTATATATGCTTTCTACACAGTATGATTTTGAGTGTTTGAGAATTGATGTTGTCGATAAGGAGAGTATAATAGGTGGCATACGGGTTAGAACTTGCAGACCACTTTGAATCGGACAGTTAGGTTTTTTGGGGTCCCTGCTGACTTAGACTGATAGTGCTGCAGTGGTTAGTGGTTACACTCAGTGTTCTGAATGCTCTGAAACTGCCATTTTAATGCAACCAAGATGTAATTGGGCTTACCTTTATGGTAGGTTCTTTGATGCAAAGTTAGGTATGTGTTAAAAGCTCCTCTAAGGGACAATGGACTTGTACTTGCGTTTCACTGAAGGTGTTTTGTACTGCTTGCTGGTTTCTGCCTTCTTCAAACAGAACATTCCAGAAGGTAGTCACAAACCAGAAGAAAACCCCCTTATATTTAAGTAGTAATGCTGCTTTCATGGAACCTATCTTGTATCTCTTTTGTGGTCAGTTGCTTTGAAATTAATTGGGAACACCTCAAACTGTGTGTGTTTTATATCCAACTGCTTTCATTTGTGTTTTCTTGGATTTGAAAAAAATGTTCCAGGCACGTCTTTAGATGTGTGTGTAATAGTGTCTTGTATTTCTCAGCTATGGCAATTGGAATGAGAGCATCAGTGCAGTGTTCTATACATGCCTGCAGGGAAAGCTGTGTGAAATGTAAGAGGCAGCTTCATGGAGTGGGAAGAGAAGAAATTCCCATCCCAGTTCTAATGGAGCAACAGGTACCACCTTCAGACAATTATGAAGAGGCTACTTCTGCCTCTTGTTCTTCATGTCCTGTTAAGCAAACCTTCTTTAAGACTAAATGAGGAACAGCACTTGTTTTCACATTGTGCATCCTGAACATATGCAATCACATTTTCAGGCTCTCAATGGGCACTTCCAAACCTAAATTTTCTGCAGGAGCCATGTTTTGTTCTTTGCATATTCCCTTGCTTCAGTTTTCATCAGAATGCCCCTGTAGAAACAGAGCAGTCCTTAGAGGATTGTTCATGTTATACTTTGCCTCTGTACATTTTTGATTGATTCTGTTATCTCCTAGGCAGTAGTCTGTAGTAAATACATATTCTTTCAGATGCAGTAGGGAAATTTGAGGTCTAGTTGGCTAAGAACAAGTGATGTAATTTTTTGAAGCGTTGTTTTTGTGCAGTGTCATTCATGTGTTGAGGGAAGAGGCTCCTGAGACTCTTCTGTTGATGCTTTGTGAACTGCAGGATAGGCTCTTTGTGGCTTGAAAATGGAAAGCTTGT